CCCCACGGCGCCATGAACTTCGAGTTCCCCCCCCTGAGATCGATATTTGCCGACATACCGCCCCCATCGGCGCGTCCTGGGGCCGCCACACCCGCCAGGGGTCCCGGCGATGTCCCCGGCGGCGCCTCCGCCTCGCCGGCCTTGGGGTTCCAGGTCGGCGCGGCGGCTGCCACCAAGTCCTCAGTCAGTAGCCTGGCCCTGCCGGACAGCCTGTCGGTCCTCCGGCAGCCGGGCAACACTTCGAGCCGGTCGGCATCGTCGTCGTCTGTTTTCTCGTCAGCCACATCGAAGGTCCCCCGGGCAGGGACCGAGGACCAGGTCTTCCGGGACATCTTCCCTGCCGGATCGCCAGCCGCCCCGGCGGCGGGGGCGGCGGGGGCGGCAGCTCGGCGCCCAATGCCCGGGACACCGTCCCGAGGCCCTGGGCCCACGGCCTCCTCCTCCGCCTTCTCCCCCGGTGCCGGTGTTGGCGCCGACTCCATCGATCTGACCACTCCAGATCCGCCGCCGACGGCGGCAGCGGCGGCGCGCGGCCCAGCCGGCCCCCCCTCTGCCATCCCGACAGCGGCGAGCCCCATGCCGGACGAAATCTCCATGCTGCTCATGGACGAGCTGGATTACTATGACGAGATTGATGCCTCCTTTTCCCTCCTGGATGACAACTTCATTCGTGCTCCGAGCGCCGCCGGTCCAGCAGGGACGCCCGCCTCACCGGCTCCCGGTGCCGGTGCCCGGGCCGGGCCGACGGCCAGCTTTTCCGCCGCGGCGGCCATCTCGCGACATCTCTACACATCCGGGGGCCCGGGGCAGCCGCTGCGCCCGGCTGGCCCGAGCACGCCGGCCACCACCACCACCCCCCGGCGCCCGGCCGCGTCGGGCCTGCCCTCCAGGATGGATGGCGATAGCCCCATTTGGCAGGATGCCCTGTCGAGCCCCCCCCGGCAACCGGCGGCCCAGCATGCCGCCACGTCCACGCCGCGGCGGCCGAACCCCCCTTCAGACTTCCCCTATCCCTTTGACGATGATGAGGACTTCCAAGCGGCCATGGACTTTGAAGATGCCTTCGACCTGACCCAGGAGCCGGACTTCGACTTCTTCCCGCCCGACGCGGGCCCCGCCCCGGCAGCCGGGAACCGAGCAGCCCCGGGAATCGCCGGGCGGCAACTTCCGGCGCCCTCGCCCATGTCGCCGGCGCCGGCGTGGACGCCCCTCAAGGCGGCTCCCGCCGGAGCAAGTGCCGCGACCCAGTACAACCCCGCTGCCGGGGTGCATTTCGCCCCGTTGCCGAGTGGCGGCTTCCGGCCGGAAAATCTCCCCCCTCGTCAGCCGATGAACCCCCAGCCGCCCTTCTCATGCTCCTTCTTCGGCCTGATGGATGACGACATGGCGCGCATGTACGGCTCCATCTTTTCGCTGGACGCCACGGCGGCCGGCGGGGGTGGCGGGAATGCGCGCCAGCCGCCGCCGCGCCAGCCGGTCTCCCGGTCCGCCTCGGGCCAGGGCTCGGGCTTCCGTGGCCGGCGTCAGTGGCACTAGCCGCACCGCATCGGGCTTCCCCTGCCCACATCGCTCTCCCCTCCGGCGGGCGGGGCCGGGCAGGCGTGGAGCCCGACAAAATACACACCTTCCTCCATCTCCGTTGTCCATCTCCGGTGTCCATCTTCCCGGGGATCTGTACACACGCACGCACGCACGCATGCACGCACGCACGCACGCATGCGGACACCCAGCGCGCCTGGGGGAAAGGCCTTCTCTCCGGACAATGGGGAATGTTCCGCCCGGCGCCAAATGCCAACGAACATGCGCTCGCCTCATGCCCGATGGCTTCCCCAACGAGATGGCCTTGTCCCCTGGGCGGGAGGCCGAGGTATGTTCCCCCCCCCCCCCGGCCGGGCCTGACCTGACCCGACGCCCCGAGAGAAGGGCCGCATGTTTGGGGGGCTCGCTGCGGGCGGTACTCTCGCCATCCGTCCCGGCCCCTCTCCCGATTATCCGACCCTCCTCCTCCCCTGCCCCCTTTCGCCTCCTCTCTCTCCCTCCCTCCCTCTCTCTCCCCCCTGCCCCCTCTCTCCCCTGCCCCCTCTCTCCCCTCCCTTTCCCCTGGGCGCGCCGGCCCAAGCAGAGCGCGCGCACTGCCACTCTCCCGCACACTTCCTCCTCCCTGCCCGGAGCATGACACCGGTGCTCGGCATCGGCGCAGTATGGCCCCACTGTGCGGGTCCACCGGCCGGATGGCGATCGCTCGGCCCAACCGCCGCGCCCCCGGTCCCGGCATGCCTGACGGAGACGGCGCTCAAGGCCCTCTGGACTGATCTGGCTGGTGCCCCGCAGGCCGTGTCTCCGGCCGGCCGGTGCCCCGCCCTGCCGACTGCTCCGGCGACCCGGCTGCTGGCGTCGAGGCACCACCTGTTCGGGTATAGCACGCGCGAGGGTGGCGATCTCTTTGCCATTGATGCGCTGCCCGCATCGGCGGCCTCCCAGCAGGGGCCCATTCGTGCGGCGATGGCCGCCCCGGCCGCCCCGGCGGTGCCGGTCTCCTCGGCCGAGGCGCGTGCCTCTCGGCTGAAGGCCCTCCTGGCCCCGAGTCGGCCTCCTGCCGATGTGGACGATCTCAAGCCCGATGGCATTTGGCCTGGCGGCCGGCTGGGCCTGAGCCGGCCAACTGCCCCGGGTGTCTTCCTGGCCGGCATCTCGGCCGATTGTGTTCCCGGGTATGTTTCATCGGCCAGCCGTGTCTTCACCCAGGCGCCTTCCCACTGTCCAGGGGAGTCGCTCTCCTCCTTTCCCACGCGCGCTCACACACGCACATATCCTGACCGCCCTTTGTCCGCCACCACCGCCCCGACCACCGCTCAGATCACCGCAGTCCCTGCTGTCAGTCTGGAGTGATGGCCGTCTGGACGTCCACGTTTACTCCACCGATGGGTGCGCATTTGCATGCGGCCTTTGGCCCCCCCCCCCCCCCCCCCCCCCCCCCCCGCCCCAGTCGCCCTGCCCGCCTGGCAACAGCCACACTTCACCCCGGCGGAGCCCGCGCCAGTTCACAGCCGCCGGACATCCAAACGCGCACAGACACACGGCCAGGAAGCAGGGCACCCCCCAACATCCCCAAGGGATGGGGATGTTATTATTTCCCCCCCCCCGCCCCTCTTGATTCCCCTTCGCCTTTCTCACTTTCCGTCCTTCGCCCTCCCCCTCCCCCGGCTCTGGTTGCCCTGCGCGGCAATCGACACGCCCGGATGATGCAGCTTCTTCTGGTCTCGCCTGGCCTGCATCAACCTCTTCACCTGTCCCATCCTCTCGGAGGCGGATGTCTCGGCGTCGGTCACCCGAGGGCGGGGCATGGCCCTGGCGCCACGCTCGCGCGGCGGGTTCACCATCGTCCGCGCTGTGGCCCTGGCCGATTTCCACCGGATGCAGGGCCGTGCCGGCCTCGTCTCCGGCGTTTCGGTCCTCTTCCTGGCCACCACTTGTCCTGGCCCGGCCGCGTGCCGAGAGTCCGCCGCGTCGGCCGAAGATAAGGTGCCTTGCCGTTCCCCGACACAGCCCACGCCCACGGGCCCCTCCCTTTCTCCCGGCCTCTCTCTCTGACCTTCTCCCTGGCATGCGGTAGCTTGGCTGCTGTGCGGGCCATTTGCGCCTCTTCCTGGCACGGATCAATGTCTCAGCGCGGACACGAGTGCAGCCACCGACGACCGACGGCCACCCAGGCATGTCCATTGTCCTGTCGGACTCGGCGGCTCTGGTCTGTCCGATTGTTCAACTCGGCGGCAAGTTCCTCCCCTCGGCCGACTTGGGCCTCTTTGGCGAGGGTGTCTTCCTGACTGACCGGCCAGCGGCGGCTGACCCCAATGCCGGGCCGAGCACCCTATCCGGGCTGTGGTTGTCCCGGTACCCGGAGCAGCTGCTGCGGCCAGCCAGCCGGGCCCCCCTGCCGCAGAGGGACCCGCCATGCGCGGCCGCCAGCCCGTGCCGGCACCCGCGCGGTGCGGCCCTTTGGAGCAGCGCCGAACACCTTCCCTGTGGCTGTCCGTTGGCCGATTTGGCCGTGCATCCGGCCACTCGGGAGCTCTTCCTTCTTGCCACGTGTGGGCACCTGTTCGGCGTGGCGATGGCACCGGCATCGGCGTCCGTCGAGGAGGCAGCCGGCCAGGCGGTGTCCCGATCCACGAGCACCGGCATGCCGCCGAGCATCCTCCTCCGGCCCCTGACTCAATTGTGCCTCCCGAAGGGCCATGCCGAGCCGCCTCTCCGGTCGGGTGGGCCTGACCGGCTTCTTTTTGACCGGGCGGCGGCCCTGCTCTTGCGGCCGCACCCCCCGGACCGGCCTTCGGTGCTCTGCTTCTCCCTGCCAAGTGGGGTGCTGCTTTCCCGGGCTCCCCTCTCCGGGGATGGCCATCAGGTCACCCACCTGTTGGGTCATTTCCATGGGCACCCGAAGCATCATCCGCTCTTCCGACCGGTGGTACTCTCGCTGCCGGGCCCCGGGACCACGGTCTCCAGTCTCCCGGAGTTGCGCTTCCTTCAGGCCGGTCCCATCCCCCCCGGGCCGGATCTACGCCGGGTGTCGGCTTCCCTTAGTGGTCAGGCAGCAGCCACGCCGGACATCTTTCCCGGCGGGCCAGTGCGTCGACTTCCTCCTCCCTTCCGCTGACCATCCTCCTCCTCCGTGTCCGCTGGCTAGCTGGGCCCTGCTCCGTCCCCCGTCGTTCTTCTGACCTTCTGTCTCCCCGTCCTGCTATTCCTCCTTCCTGCTATTCCTCCTTCCTGCTCTCCTTCCTGCTCTCCTTCCTGCTCTCCTTCCTGCTCTCCTTCCTGCTCTCCTTCCTGCTCTCCTTCCTGCTCTCCTTCCTGCTCTCCTTCCTTCCTGCTCTCTTGCTATCCTCCTGCCCTTCCCCCCTTTCACCCTTCTGCCTTCTGGGCATGACGCAGATTCAGAACGACCAAATCGCCCTGAACCAGGCGCGCCCCATGACCCCACCCCTGCACCATGTGGCGGCGTTCTTCGAGCTCCTGTGGCAGCTACTGGACGACGGCCCCGTGGCGGTCGGAAAGCCCGACCTCCTGCGCAGCTTCCTCCGTCAATTGGAGCTCTTGTGCCTGCATTCCCAGTCGCCGGCGCTGATTGTCCACGTCCTCGAGGCCCTGCGCCGGTCAGCGGCCTCCCTGCCTGGGCCATTCCTCCGGGACATGCAGCGGGTGGTGGACCGGTGTGTGAGCCCTCCGGTTGAGGCCCCGGGCTCGGGCGATGCCCTGTCCCCGGCACTGACTCCCCTCTCGGCCCGGGTGCAGGGGAATGTCCAGCGCCTGCGTGGGCTTTCCTTCGAGAGCTGGCACGGCCAGCCGCACTCGCAGACGTGTGTCAAGCTTCAGCCGGCGGCCGAGCCGCTCCCCGGGCGGACCTCCTTCAATTTGGAGAGCGGCTGGCTGTGGAAGCGCTATCCCGGGGAAATGGTGCTGGCGTACTTGGCGCGGATGGCCGAGCTCAGCACGGCGGCTCGGCGGTCGGTCGACCGGTCGACCTCGTTCCCCGTCTTCCCGGCATTGGTGGACGCCCATCCCAGCGGGGCCTTCCCCCGGTTTGGCTATCTCCACCAGGATTCAGGCCGGTCCGGAACCCGGTCGCCGGGGGTGGCATCTCCAATTTCCCCCCTGAAGACGACCGTCGGCTCCTCCCCGGCCGGCGTGACCCTCGAGGCCCCGGTGTCGGCCTTCCCACCGCTCTTGTCGACCAATGCCTGGCAGCGATTGACCATCTCGCAGCGGGTTCTGGCACTCGCGTGCGAGGCGTGTCGGGTGGCGGACTCGGAGGCCGCGGCGGCCGCCGGTGGCCAGCCGCCCGCTCGACCGCTGCTACTGCAGCTGACGTACACCCTCACTCACGCGGGCATCCTCTTGGACTTCGCCCTGTCGTGTGGCACGCTGGACGGCCCGGCGACCCATGCCGCCAAGGCCGCCATTTCGGGTGGCGCACGCGCTGCCAGGCCCCAGCCGTCCGGCACCCTGGCCGGCGGCCGGGCATTCGATGTGTCCGAGTCTCTGCGGCCATGGGGCGCCACGCTGGAGCAGGTTGCCAGCTACCTGGCATCGGTGGTACGCTCGCGTTTGCTCCCCCCCCCCCCCTCCCCTCTCCCCCCCCCCCCTTCCTTCCGCCCCCCCCCCCCCTCCCCCCCCCCCCCCCCCCCCCCCCCCCCCCCCCCCCCCCCACCCACCCCCTCCGCCCCCGGAGATTGGGGCTCCCCCTTCCCCCCCCGCGAAAGGCCCGATCGGAAATCCGCTTGTTTGGTGGGCCGCCCGCCCCCCCCCCTTTGGTTGTGCCCCGGGGCCCCCCCCCCCCCCCCCCCGGTGTTGTGTTGGTGC